GGGACCACAGGCACCTGCCACAATGCCTGGCTATTTTTTGGTTGCAGCCATCATTGTTGTTTGGCGGGCCCGGGCTGGATTCGAACCCACCACCTTAGCTGTATATAGCTGGTGCCTTAGCCACTTGAGCCACAGGTGCCAAGCCCAGGTTTCTGTTTTTAAGTACACCCCGTCTGGCAAGAGATTGTCTGTTGCGTATATGTTCTTACTTACCTGCTGTGATAACCATGAGAGATAGAGATTGTCACTGCATTTTATAGATGAGGAAACGGGGCCTCACAAAGGGCAGCAGACCCAGGATTTAAACCCAGATGATTTTGCTTATAAAGCCCCTGGTCTTTATTCTGTCTCTTCCCAGGTTTCTTGCTGCTGAGTTCTGGCAGTATTCTAACCCCAGAAATGCTGCCCACTCAGGGGGTAGGGGACTGGGAGGCTGGGCAGGAGCAGATCTCTTCTTGGTCCCAGCCAGTTTCTGTGGTTCCTGCAGCAGCTTCTCTTTTGGAAGGGCATTGTACCACGTGTCCTGAGGCTGGCTCTAGATTATGACAGGTTAATTCTTGGTCCAACAGACAACCACGACATCATCTCCATGAAGCTGTTTCAGCTGATGGTTGAGCATACACCCGATGAAGACACCATCGACTGGACCAAGATTGAGCCCAGTGTCAACTTCCTCAAGTCTCCCAAAGGTGCGTGTGTGCTGGCCTTCCCTGCCTGGGCCCGGCTGACCTGGCGTGTGGCTGGGCGAGGTTGGCCTCTGGGGTCCTTACCTCATCCAGTTGTGGTTGTGATCTGTGCTCTTGAGTAAGGTAGGCTCTGGTGAGTTCTCAAGCTAGTGAAGGGGGCAGAAAAGATGTCTTCAAAGAGTCTGTCCATGGGGCTACCTCAGTTGTGTGATTTTCGTGAAGACAGAACAACTAATCATCAAACATATGAGCACCTGGGGTCTGCTTCCTCCTGTATTGGTGCTAGAGAGAGTGGCCAGTAAAGCCAGGGTGCCAGGCACCCACATCTTCCCTCTATGAGCCTGGAGGAAGGTCCTGCTGTTGGCCTGAGAATGGATCTCTCAGCTAGGCAGGAGAAGAGGCAGGATTTTAACTCGGGTTTCTGCAAGACCCACATCCTTAATTTTTCCTATGCACTAATTAGCCCCTGCTATATCCTCACAGAGTGGATGTTCTATGGGAGGAAGGTGGCACCTGTGAGTGGGGGCCCTGAGCGCCTTGGTCCAGCCCCAGGGCTCCGTGCTAAATGTGGGGCCCAGGTCTTTCTGCCTTTTAGGAGAAGCCAGAATCCAGTGTACTGTGATATCTCGCTTCTGTGAGAGTCAGGTTGTTTGTAAACCATCAAAGCGTTTCTGGCTGCTGAGTGCCTCCGGAGACGACTTGGCTATACCCAGCATTCCCGAAGAGCTGCGGGCTGGGCACTGGAGACATTAGGGCCAGACAGTATGCAGTGAGGCAGTCTTCTTGGTGCCAGGACCATGTCATCATGCAGTCCTGTTAGATTCATGTCCTTGGAGCCCAGCCCAGGGTTGGCCTCGCCTGCTGCACCCTTTCAGCTCCCCTTTTCTCCTCCCTCAGACAACGTGGATGACCCCACGGGGAACTTCCGAAGCGGGCCCCTGACGGGGTGGCGGGTGTTTCTGCTGCTGCTGTGCGCGCTCCTTGGCATCATTGTTTGCGCGGTGGTGGGGGCCGTGGTGTTCCAGAAGCGGCAGGAGCGGAACAAGCGCTTCTACTGAATGGACATGCCTGGCCAGGAAGCACTTGACCTACGGCCCAGGAACTAATGTGAACTTTTTTTACTGGGATTGTAAAAGAACAACAATATGACCTTATTTCTTAACTGTTTCAAAGAAATGATTAAAGTATTTTCGTACATTTTGCTTCTTGCCCAGCAGGGACAGATGGGCAACAGGGCCAGGGCTGTGGGTCTGGTGTCCCCACAGCTGGAGTAGAGGCTGTCCTGGGGCCAGCATTTCAGGATGGGGGGCCTGTGCCTGGATCTGGGCTGAGGCCCCCCACAGAGAGCTCTTGAGCACTGAAGGGACCCTGGACCACGTTGGGATGGGCTCCTGAGGACATGGAGTGGTGATTTGTTCTGTGGTGTAGGATGTGTGTGGCAGTGGATGGGGCCTGAGCTGGGGGACCTGGGCTTCCTACTCAGCCTGAGCTGCTTCCCAAGGCAAACACTCAAGTCAGGCTGGAGGAACAGTTTGGTGGGGCCCAGAATGTGACCATTTGCTAAATAAAGTGACATAACCGATTGTAGCTGTGTGACTGTCCTGAGGGACTTCCTGTTGTTTTTCTCCACATAACTTGCAGCTGGTGCTTCACAGCTGTCTAGTCTGCAGCAGAGGCCTGGGAGGAGGCGCTGGGCTCGCCCTGTTTCCCAGGTGGGGAAATGCACATCTCCCGTGATGTGGCCTTTGGGTGAGAGGATTGGTGGGGGGTGCCATGCAGTGGGTGCTAGAGAAAGGAGCTCTGGGATGATGTGCAAAGGTTGGGTCAGGAAGATGGCTGGGGTCATGAGTAGCATTCCCTTTGGGGCATCTTGGAGGACAAAGATGGTGACAGGCAGTGGAGGAAAGGAGCAGCTGAAAGGGAGGCACTGCCTCCATGTTTTCTATGCCACCTCCCAGGGGCTGTGGCCTGCTGCGGCTGCCCAGACCTCCTACCATGGAGAGCATGTGGCTGTCCAGCCTAGGGCCACATGTGTCTCCAATCCTGGTCCTGGCCCTCCTTGGACTCCTTGCTGAGTCAATGAGGTCTCTGCATTGTCCCCTTCCCACTCACACTTTGCTAACAGTTAAAAAGCAAAAGCAAACCTTACTTTTCTGCTGCAGGAACATTTTCAAATAGATTTTTATTGCAAAAAATACAGAGATGAGGACATGAAGTGAGAGTAAGAATTGACTTCTCCCTTCAGTCCTTAAATCTCACTCTCCAGAGCTCTTCACTGATGCATTAGTAACTGCCTCCATGGCCTTCTCGATGTTTCCTATGTCTGCAGAGAATCCCCTTTCAGCAGGTTAGATGTCAAGAGATTGTGCACAGCTATGGAGAGGGTCGAGCTTGTGTTTTCTTGCAGCTGGGGGAGCCTGTTTGTGTGAGGCCTTAAGGGTAATCATGATCCTCTTTATTGAAATATTTTATTGAATACTTTTCCCAGAACAGTTTCTTTTCTTGAGAAAGTAGCAAACATTGAATGTTTACCATACACTATTCTTCCGAGAGGTAGATGCATATTATCTCCTTTCATTCCACAGCACCCACGTGGTTGCTGAAATCCCTTAGGTCAGGTGTGGGGATGTGTCCAGTCAACATATCTATGTTGATGTGCAGAGCTGAGCCCTGGAGTCTGAACTCTCCATGGTTGCTATAACCATGTCATCAGTTCACCACATACTTTAAAAAATTTATATAAATGTATAGGGTACAATTGAAGTTTCAGCACATGTATAGATTGCATAATGCTCAATACACCATACTTGCCCTTTAATTTTTGGCTCTAACTTGGCCTTTCTGAATTCTTTTTTTTTTTGAGACTGAGTCTCATTGTGTCACCCTTGATAGAGTGCTGTGGTGTCACAGCTCACAGCAACCTCAAACTCTTGGGCTTAAGCAATTCTCTTGCTTTAGCCTCCCAAGTAGCTGGGACTACAGGTGCCTGCCACAACACCCAGCTATTTTGTTTTGTTATAGTTGTTTGGCAGTCCCAGGCTGGGTTCGAACCTGCCAGCACTGGCATATGTGGCTGGAGCCCTAGCTGCTAAGCTACATACAGGCGCTGAGCCCTGAATTTACATTATAATTCATAACAGTAGCAAAATTATAGTTATGAAGTAGCAACAAAAATAAGTTTATGGTTGGGGGTCACCACAACATGAGGAACTGTATGGAGGGGACATGGCATTAGGAGGCATTAGGAAGGTTGAGAACTACTGCTTTAGAGTAACCTGGAGGACTAAACGCCTGCTGCCTTCTCCATTCTGGTTCAGTGAGTCAGGTGAAGGGTAGTTTTCAAAGCTCCTGGGTTGTTCTAATGGGTGTCCAGGCTCCAGCACCTGAAGGTGTCAAGACTTATGATTTGAGGCTGGGTGTAGTGGTTCACACCTATAATCCTGAGCCTACACTTAAAATTTGTGCTTTTTCCTATATGAGCTCCCAAGCAGGCTGTCAGTACAATTAATATTAAAACATGCATTTCAAAAGGATAGGGGCAGTGGCTCATGCCTGTAATCTTAGCACTCTGGGAGGCTGAGGCAAGTGGATTGCCCCGAGCTTAGGAGTTTGAGACCAGCCTGAGCAAGAGTGAGACCTCATCTCTAAAAATAGCCAGGTGTTGGACAGACACCTGTAGTCCCAGCTACTCAGGAGACTGAGGCAAGAGGATCGCTTGAGCCCAAGAGTTTGAGGTAGCTGTGAGCTATGATGCCACAGCACTCAACTCCACAGTGACTGAGATTCTGTCTTTAAAAAAAAAAAGAAGAAAGAAAACACTTCTATTGTCCTCTCCCTAGGGAAACAAAACAAATTGTTTTTCCTGACTCAGAGCCCATAGCACAGTGATTATGGAACCAGGCACATACAGTGAGGCTGGCAGATTCAAACCCAGCCCAGGCCAGCTAAACAACGACAACTGCAACAAAAAATAGCCGGTTGTTGTGGCAGGTGCCTGTAGTCCCAGCTACTTGGGAAGCTGAGGCAAGGAAATCACTTAAGCCTAAGAGTTTTAGGTTGCTGTGAGCTGTGATGCTACAGCACTCTACCGAGGGCAACATAATGGGACTCTGTCTCAAAAAAAAAAAAAAATAGTTTTCCCAGCATCAGTGTATGATACTATACAGAGTCTTGCCAACCAGGGAAGCTTATCTGAGTTTTGGTGTTCAGTTTGTGGGTTCCATTCTGTAGGGATAATTAATTGATTGGTTACCTCTATGGTTGACCCCAGTCTAAAAGTTGACTGACAGCCTGTGACCCAAAGTTCTACCCTAAATTATATTGTTGGTTGTTCCAGTGTGGTTAGCCTCTAACCTAAATTGCACAGTTACTACCTAGCTAGCCCAAGGCTCCCAGATAAACAGGTACCTCCCAGTAGCTGGGGCCAAAGGCCATGCCCCTTTGGGGTCAAGGTGAAATTCTTGATGACACAGGCCACCCTCTGGTATTTGGCCAAGATTCTCTTACAGCAAAATGATCATATATCTAGCAATTAGAGAGGCCAGTATGTAGGTAGGAAAAGATTAAAGAAACAACTAATCCAGGCTGAGCACACTAACACTCTAGGAGGCTGATCCCTTGATCAGCCTGAGCAAGAGCGAGACTCTGTCTCTACTAAAAATAGAAAAATTAGCTACGTGTTGTGGCAGGTGCCTGCAGTCCCAGCTACTAGGAAGGCTGAAGCAGGAGGAACACTTGAACCCAGGAGTTTGAAGTTGTGAGCTAAGCTGACACCATAGCACCATAGCACTCTAGCCAGTGTGACAGAGACTCTGTCTCCAAAAAAAAAAAGAAAAGGAAAGAGAAGGGCAGGGAAGGGATAATTAATCCATTCTATAAAGCCATTATACTTTCTCAATTTTTTACTAATTAAATTATTATTTCCCCACTTGATTTACTATTTCTACCTTATGATAAACTTGTGCAGAACGATGAAGCACAGAAATCAGCTGATGGTAGGTAAATCCCGTTCATCCTCAAACCAGTCATTTTCATAGGTATTTCATATGTATTACATCCTGAGGAAGATTTAACTTAATTTCCCAGTGAATGTAACCTTTAGAACCAGAATTATAACCTTACAGTGTCACCATCACTCCTTATAGCAGAATGGCAGTAGATGTATCATGAAAAATAAGAGTCAAAAGGTTCTGGCATGGCTGGGTACCCGTAACTCAGTGGTTAGGTCACTGGCCACATGCTCCAGGGCTGGTGGGTTTGAACCTGCTAAACAAACAAAAAAAAATAGTCGGGCGTTGTGTCGGGCACCTATAGTTCCAGCTACTATGGAGGCTGAGGCAAAAGAATTGCTTGAGCCAAGAGTTTGAGCCCAAAAAGATTGCTTTGAGCTGTACGCCATGGCACTCTACCAAGGGTGACAAAGTGAGACTCTGTCTCAGTAAAGAAAAAAAAAGTTCTGGAAGGTTACCAGGGTTCCTTTAATCATTAATTAGTACAATCTAAGATTGGGTGCAGTACCTCAGGCCTGTAATCCTCCCACCTCTGGGAGACCAAGGTGGGTAGATTGCCTGAGCTCAGGAGTTTGAGACCAGCCTGAGCTAGAGTGAGATCTCATGTCTAAAAATAGCTAAGTGTTGTGGCAAGCACCTGTAGTTCCTGCTACTAGGGAGGCTGAGGCAAGAGGATTGCTTGAGCCCAAGAGTTTGAGATTACTGTGAGCTATGATGCCATGGCATTCAACCCTAGGGTGACTGAAAATCCTGTCTCAAAAAAAAACCAAACACATATGTCTGCATTTCAGAAGGCCATCTTTGTTGTAAGACTCTCACAATCAATATTTGGCATTTCTTGATTTTGTCAGCAATATTGATAATGCATATGTGCAGTAAGGCATTTCCCATAGTTTTATAATACTTCGATTTTCAATTTTAGTTTCACTATGGACTAAATTCTAATTAGTTCTACAAATCTTCATTAATTGCCTATGAATTAGGCACTAAGCAAAGGATACACAGGTACAGTTCCTATCTTCACGGAGTACAGGGTCTGGCAGAGAAGACACGTTATGATTCAGGATCCAGTCTGGAAAACACATGCCACTCTAATTATTTCAAACAGAGGGGTTTTAGTGTAGGGAATTGGTTGAACAGTGATGGTACTAGAACTCCAGAGCTTGAGGCAATGCCTTATGGTTGGTGCTCAGATCTCTAAGATGAAGGGGAACATGGCAGGTATTTGGACTTATAAAGTAGGCACAATCCCAGCAATGGTGTGGCCTGGTGGAGAGGGAGCTATACCACCACTGTTCAGCTGTCAAGGGGGCGCCTCTGAGGGTAGGGCTTATGCTGTTGGAAGTTCTGAAGAAGCTGGAGCCAACTGGTGGCTGCCGGCCCTGGGAAAAAGGAAGTAAGGCCCTTCTCCCTCCCCTTTCCAATCTTCATCTAGTACCTCCCAGTGGCAGAACAAAGGAGCCCAGGAAATGTAGCTTGCAGAGTTTCAGGTGCATCATGGAGTACAGAGAAGGGGCCTGAGGCTTAGAGACAATGTGTGTGGAACCAGCAGGCAGCAGGCTACCCAGGACACAGCCC